TACGTAACAGTACATATCAGACAGATTTGCAAAAGTGAGATGTTTCAATTCTGTTTAAGAAAAGTTACAGTCCTTTCATTTGTAGAGTTGAGTCTGGACAAGTTTACACAGTGGCTCAAGAACTAAGTCCTATCTTAAGTAGCATCATTGGAACAAAGCAAGTACACACACACACACACACACACACACCCCTTAAGATACTTCCAATACAGTATAAATAAATGCACATATATGTGAGATAAATATAAAATAAGATAAGGATCACTAAATCAAATTATGAGTTAAGTCATTACTTTTCACCTGTAAAATGGCTAAGGCAGGGGAAGGGAGATGCTACTTTCTGAAAACCTAATGTTTATTTACTTTTTTGTTTTTTGCTTATGGATCAAGACAGGAAGGGATGCCACAAAAGTTCAGCCAGTCTGGCTAATTTGCAAGCCATTGAATGCATGCTCTGTCCCATCTCAGGCCTTTGAAGCTGTTGTTGCTCAGTGGGGAATACCTTCTGCCTCCACCTGTTCAGCTAACTGCTACTCCACCTTCAGATTCAAGCTTAGGTGTGAAACTCTACCCTCCTCACCCCATCACCAGCCCCACCTCAAGGTGGCCCTCCTGCATGGTTTCAATGCCTTGTGTTCAAGCTCAGCTAGGAAATCCTTATAAATTGGATTAAAATTACTAGATTCCTCTTCTCTTTACTCTAATCCATTGATTTCAAGACCCATGTCTTGTGCACCAACACACTTAGAGCCTAATGTAAAATAAGCACAAAAGATTACTGAATATATATTCAATATATAAAAAGTATGTCTATATAATTATCAAGACAGTTAAGAACCCAAGCTGTAGAGTTAAATATTTAGGATTCTGATGTGGTACACACCTCACTGCTTATGATCTTGGACAAGTTATTTAGCATTCCTGTGCCTCAGTTTCCCCATCAGTTAAATGGATAGAATGCTAATATCTACTTCATGAGATTTTTGTGATGGTCAATGGGTAAACGCAGGTAAAGTGCTTGCAGCAGTGACACACAGATTCAGAACTGTTACTATTATCGTCTCATGTCTGATTCTCTCACCTTTCTTTCACCTCCAACTCCAATCTCTCTTCTTTTCTCTTTCTCTCTCTCTCTCTCTCTCTCTCTCTCTCTCTCTCACACACACACACACACATACACACACACACACACACACACACACACACACACACAAGCAGGCTTGAAGGTCAGGATCCTTTGGTGGTCTCCTTAAACCACATTTTTGGCAAGCTTTGTTTGAGCTCTTGGAAAGGCAGTGTTCTTTGGGAAAAGAACACTGAGATAGAAATGGTCCAAATCCCAGACTGGCTTCTAAGGAATCTACTTCAAAAGAGAGCATTCCTTTGAATATGCTGGTTACTCTGTATGTATTTATTTTGTAAACAAAATAGCTTGTTAGACACATTGAGGTTTAACTCCACATTACAGTCCCTGTACTGCATTAGGTACCATTGAAAACTTGGAATCTATCTGTTTTACACAGGGAAAAGCATGCTAAAATAGGGGTCAGGGAATTAGGTTCTATAAGCATGTCTTGGAAGGGACACAATTAATCTGAGCCTCAGTAATGCATAAAATAAGGAGGCTGTATTTGATGAACTAACATCTGAAAATTCAATGATTCTATTTTGAGATAGGAAGAAGACATTTATAGGTATCACTCATGTCAAAGAGACAAAATGTACAAAATAAATATTCTTGTGAAGATGGGCCAATGGGGTAAAGGAGTCAGCAAAAACAGATGAGGAAATCATGGAAGACTCCCTAGAGTTTGTTGTACAAGATCTTGAAAGCATGATGAACATGAGTTGATGGACAGAAATAGAGAGCTCATTGACTTATTTCCCTGTTGCTCTAATATAGAAAAATGCATTTGAAAATAATGTATGTAATACTCTGATTTAAAGGAGCATTTAAACTCGATAGGTTTGGTCTGCGTTTTAAAGGGGCAAATGGGCATATCCTGGAGGAGAGGGCTGGGGAAGGACTTCCAAGGGGACAGCAGAGAATAGTATCTGTCAGTGGTTACGTAACCAAACCAGAAACCGTGAGGACAAAGGGATAAGCCAATTAACCGGGCTGAACTAGAATATTTCCAGTCTTCACTAGAAATGGCAGAGATGATATTGGATAGATGAGGAGAAAACCTTGCCAGATCACTTCAATGATAATGTGAGATTTTTTTGAAAATCTAAATTAGGGCCCTTGTGGGTTCTTGAACAAGAGTAAGAACAGTATGTAGCTAGCTGTGTATCAAGGACTTTTAGATTCTTAATTGAATTTTTATTTAAAAATGAAACTGTTTATTGTAATTTAAGTGTGGGAATAAGAAATGCAGATTTTATTTCTAAGGGCTCTTATATTTGTTTTTTTATGAGTGAAGAATTGTTTTATTGTATTTTTTTAATTTTTATTGAAATATGGTTGATTTACAATGTGTTAGTTTCAGGTATACAGCAAAGTGATTCAGTTTTATATATATATATATATATATATATATATATATACACACACATACATATATATGTAACTGAATATGTATATATGTCTTCATATATATATGTATATATAGATATATCTTTTTCAGATTCTTTTCCATTATAGGTTATTATAAGATATTGAGTATAGTTCCCTGTGCTATATAGTAGGTCCTGGTTGGTTATCTATTTTGTATATAGTGGTGTGTATATTTTAATCCCAAACTCCTAATTTATCCCTCCCCTCCCCTTTCCCCTTTGGTAATCATAAATTTCCTTTTTGTCTGTGAGTCTGTTTCTCTTTTGTAAATAAGTTCATTTGTATCATTTTTTAGATTCCACATATAAGCAATTTCATATGATGTTTGTCTTTGTCTGACTTCACTTAGTATGATAATCTCTAGGTCTATCCACATTGCTACAAATGGCATTATTTCATCCTTTTTCATGGCTGAGTAATATTTCATCACATATATGTGTATGTATATATATGTGTGTGTGTGTGTTTATATATATCTTCTTTATCCATTCATCTGTCGATGACACTTAGGTTGCTTCCACGTCTTGGCTATTGTGAATAGTGCTTCTGTGAACACTGGGGTGCATGTATCTTTTCGAATTAGAGTTTTCTCCAGATATATGCCCAGGAGTGGGATCATACGGTATTGGAATAAGCATCATCTGTAGTTTATTTGAGATACAGTTGTTTCTTTTTCATTCTTAGATGCCATTTGGTTAGTCATGTTGCCTTAAAAATTGTCATGTTTTTAAATGTTTGCTGAAGTCTTACTTTTTGTTGATTTTTAGATTTCATGTATTATATGACAGCAACCATTATTTTTTAAAAAATCAAACCCTGTTGATATGAAATGAAGTTTTTTGTTGTTTTTGTGATGTTACCAGTTACTGTTAGTGGACATCACAGAAAAATGAAAACAGCTTAACCAATACATTTATAAAGAAATTCCAAGGAAGGAAATAAATTACAGATCACACCAAGAAACAAAACCCAATAAAAGGAAATGCCCAACTTTATAGGAACACAGATTTAAGCTCTGAAATATAAAAAAATACATAAATTAGTAGCTTTTGACAATGCATTTCAGGGACCCTTTGCAATATATTTTAATATACACTTGCTACTGTGTTGTTTCCTCTACCTGAGGGCAAAAATCAGTCTTCTGTTTGTTTTTCAATACATTCAGAGTTGTCCAGGTTGGGATTTTTGGTCAGTAATAAATATTCTTATCTAAATATAGGATTTTTCCTAGGAAGATAAGAAACTGATGTCTGGTGTCACCAGGGTATTTTAACTGTGTAATAACTGAATTGTTATTAAGATCAAAAGGCATAGTAATAATTGCAGTTAATGAAGTTCATGAAAGTGATACATATAAAAGTTAAAGAATCAAAATAGCTTCCCTATCTAGAACTTCCTTGAATAATCTCTGAGTTTCTTCATTTATTCCTGTGCTGCTTCCCAGAATATAGTTCTTGCTTATATTCAGAGGAAATGTCTCTTTCTAAATGTTTTTTTATGAAGAAAATATATTATGTGGTGATATGGCAGTAAGAAGTGAAATACTGACTCAGGGTTTCCCGATGGATGAAATTAATTTAGAAAAGAAACATACACAGAAGCAGAAAAGTTATGGGTATGAGACACAGTCGTCCACAGGTGCTATTATGTGGAAGGTAGTGCTCTGGGCAGTTTCCTATGAACTTCTTCGAGGGAGGAGTTCATTGTTTGGGTTGCCTGTTGGCAAGAGCCTGCCACACTGCCCTCTGCTCCTTGTCTTACTGAGAGCACAGTGACCTGACTAAGTGAGTCACATCAAGCTCTCGTTCATGGAACATTCTGTAGGGAAACCGTGTTTGTAATCCCAACAGCACAGGACAGCAAAACTTTACTTCCTAGTACATAGTTTCTTTGGAGCCCAAAAGACAGGGTTGTTACTTCAAGGACATGTTTGCTTAGTTAGGTGGCAGTAGCTTCCGCTAAGATGCTATCACCTCTGAACAAGGACACATTTATTCCAACATCAAATCTGCCCATCACAAACTGAGTCTAACAATAGCTTTCACCGATGGGCATCTGTAACCTTTGGCCTTTTTCACATCGCGCAGGCTGAAAGCTCCAGCAACTATACCTCCTAACATTAAGAGGTTAAGAGTTCCAATTAACAAGTCTTGTGTCCATTTAAAAGCCTATCATTTTGATGCATTCATTTTCCTTCCTGTAATTTCTCTAAAGAGAAAAGTAAAAGGAAATGATTTGACTCACAAACATTTTCTTCATCCCTATGAATCATTTATTTTGTAACTGGAAGTTTATACCTCTTAATCTCCCACACCTATCCACAAACACTTATGGATTATGGGGACATAATGTTATATAATAGCTTCATTCTTAACAAGCGCAGAAGTAGGGATTTTAGACCCTGTCCATGCTAAGTCTCTTTTTTGCTGCTTTGTATTTCTAGATGACGAAGAATGGCACCGTGGAATCTGAAGAAGCTAGCACTCTTACAGTGGATGACATTTCCGATGATGATATCGATCTAGACAACACCGAGGTAGATGAGTACTTCTTTCTCCAACCCCTGCCAACAAAAAAACGGAGAGCACTGCTGCGGGCCTCTGGGGTGAAAAAGATTGATGTGGAGGAAAAGCATGAGCTACGAGCCATCCGCCTATCTCGAGAGGACTGTGGCTGTGACTGCCGGGTGTTCTGTGATCCAGAAACATGTACCTGCAGCCTGGCAGGCATTAAGTGTCAGGTAAGGATTGGGATTTCGAGGAATCCGAAGGCATGACATTATACACCAACCCCTAAAGATGCAGTTGTGTTCCATGTAATGAAGTTTCCCACACGTGGAGGAAAATTCTGGGGTAAGGCAAGACACATGATTCAAGAAGAGAGAAATACTAATTCAATGACATTTAGGGGTATATGTAATATATATATATATATATATATATATGTTATAGTGTGAAAGGCAATCCAAGCTGCAATTGTCAGTTGAAATTGTTTGCTCTTGGATTCATTTATTATGCAAACTTATTTTGTCTTTTTACAAGCATTCAGGGAGATCATGACATCCCTAACATTTAAAGTTTGTATTCTCTGATCCATCCATGGGGTATAAAATGATGATTGCTTAGAGGTAGTGTAGATTAGTGGAAAAATTAGTAGACTGGGGCTTAAGAAAACTGAGTTTTCCTCCTGGCTCTGCCTTTTGCCACAATGTGAAATTGGCAAGTCAGGTAAACTTACTGGGTTCAGTTTTCCCACTTCTAAAATGAATGGGCTGGGCTAGATCAGGGGTTGGGAAACGATAACTCACAGGTCAAATCTAGCCTGCCACCCTGTTTTTGTAAGTAAAGTTTTATTGAAGCACAGCCATGTATTTTTTGTGTGTGTTTACATGTTGCCTATAACTGCTTTCATACTTCTACAGCAGAGCTTGAGTAGTTGTCGCAGAGACTGTATGGCCCACAAAGGCTAAAATAATTATTCTCTGGCCTTTTTACAAAAAAAGAGCTTACCAACCCCTGAACTAGATGCTTCTCAGGTTCCTATCCATCTATATCATTGGTGCGCCATGATTAGTTAGGGGTTTTTATTGTATGCAGAAACTCAACTTTTTCAATAAGAGCCTCTCAGGCAGACAAAAGGAGAGGACAGTTCTTATCAGCTGAACAGTTGCTTGAGGTAGATTCACAGAAAATGGAATCACAGGTAAGAAAGTAGCTATAGATTCTGGCTCGACATCTGCTACTACTTTTTGTGGGGACCGGGATGACTGTGCTAGAATCCACTTTCTCCTCTCTTGCATGGGAAATACCCCATGCTTGGATAAGGTGGAAAGAAGGGCAAGTTCTTTCTGGTTGCCTGTGCTCTGGTCTGCATAAAGGTGGAATCTAAGCCAGCAAATATCTTAGGAGTCCCTTAGATTGCCCAGAATTCCACTCATCACCTGAGTGAAGAGCTCAGTCCAACAACACTTGCTGAACCTAATCACTCTATCTACAGAGTCCAAACACTCGAATAATCATGGGATATTGATTAAATGAACATCTCCTTCTCTCCAGAAGCTTGTAGTCTAAGGGAGGGGTAGGGAAGGCCGGGGAGCCAGCAACTAAACAGAAATCCACCAGTCACCATCATGAATGTGCATACGCATCGCAGCCTGCAGTTGCATACGTGCATCACCTACCAAGGATCCAAAAGAATGAGAAGGCACACCAATGAGAGTGAATTATCACACTGCTTGATACTAAGGTGGTGTCAATCTGGACACCTTGGGCAGAGAAGTTCATTTTATAATAAGCAAAGAAAAACTCCTGGCTAGAATGAGGAATGTCATGTAATTTAGACTAAAAATAGCAGGTGGGGATGAGGGCAGTAAGTTTGTTTAAAACTGAGCCTGTGAGCTGGCATGCAGCAGAAAAAAAGGGAGCTTGGGGAAAGGACAGAAGCATTGAAAAAAATGGGAGCAAAATTAATGGGATGGAGAGAAGAGGGAAACGGAGAATGGCGACAGAAGTAAAGAAAGCACAGGAGGGATAAATGAACAAAACTACACACCATAACTCATTTTTATTTTGAGTATGGGTTTAAAATTAGGTTAACTCATGTTCTAAGCCTTCACTTCCCTTTTTGTTTCTGTCTGCAGTTTGATTGTCGTTTGTTCTGGCGTAAGTGGGTTTAAGTCATCCCAGATTTCAAAGGCTTTGCCCTGAGGTACTGGATTTTTATTTGATTTGTAAGAGTTCCAGGGGGCTAATCTGTGTTCTTCCCTCCAAGGTGGATCGAATGTCTTTCCCATGTGGCTGCACTAAAGAAGGATGTAGTAACACAGCAGGTAGAATTGAATTTAATCCTATCCGTGTCCGGACTCACTTTTTGCACACAATAATGAAACTTGAACTGGAGAAAAACCGAGAGCAGCAAATCCCCACGCTGAACGGCTGCCACGGGGAGATAAGTGCCCACAGTAGTTCCATGGGCCCTGTGGCTCACTCCGTCGGATATTCCATCGCAGACAATTTTGAGATTGAAACGGAACCCCAGGCTGCAGTGCTGCACCTGCAGTCGGCGGAGGAATTAGATTGCCAAGGAGAGGAAGAGGAGGACGGTAGCAGCTTCTGCAGCGGAGTCACGGACTCCAGCACCCAAAGCTTGGCCCCCAGCGAGTCAGATGAGGAGGAAGACGAGGACGACGAGGAGGAAGACGAGGACGACGACGAGAAAGGGGACAGTTTCGTGGAAGCTTTGGGTCCCCATGCCGAAGGGGTCCCTCTTCCTTCCGTCCTTTGTTACTCCGATGGCACGGCTGTCCACGAAAGCCACGCGAAAAGCGCTCCCTTTTATGCCAACTCTTCTACCCTCTATTACCAAATAGACAGCCACATTCCAGGAACTCCCAACCAGATCCCCGAGAACTACTCGGAAAGAGAGACTGTCAAAAGCGGTGCCCTCTCGCTGGTGCCTTACACCATGACCCCGGAGCAATTCGTGGACTATGCCCGACAAGCGGAAGAGGCGTACGGCGCCTCCCACTACCCAGCTGCCAACCCCTCTGTCATCGTTTGCTGCTCCTCTTCGGAAAACGACAGCGGTGTGCCCTGCAATAGCTTATATCCCGAACACAGGTCCAATCATCCTCAAGTGGAATTTCACTCATACTTGAAAGGCCCCTCCCAGGAAGGGTTTGGCTCTGCATTGAATGGGGACAGTCACATTTCAGAGCATCCTGCTGAAGATTCTTTGAGCCTCGCAGAAAAGAGCAGATTGCACGAAGAGTGCATCAAATCGCCCGTGGTGGAGACTGTCCCTGTTTAGTAGCTTAAGTTATTCTTGGACCAACTCCTCTCCTATGTAAAGCACTGTATTTAATTGGATTTCGTGGGCTCATCGTGGTTTCAGCTGAGGACCAAGAAAACTTGGACCGTGGTGAATCTTCCAGACTGTATTTTGTTTTCTCCCTTCTAGCTACGTGACTGTGCCGTTGCACAAATGCAGTCTCTATGAGGGTTTTAAACGATTTCAGACTGTTTTGATAGAAAATGCTAATTTTAAAAAAGCATATCTCACAGTTGCCTACCTGTGAAACTGTGTGAAACCTGCCAAGCTGTGTAGATCAGAGCTCCAAGTTTTGGATTATCGGGCCTGTGCAAGATTGTTAACTAAGACTGGGAAATAATAAGATTTAGAGTCCTAATTTTCGATATATCTGAAGATGATGGTGACTTTTTAATGTAAAAGTAATTATTGTAAGAAAAAGATTTAATTGTTCCATGCGTATTTTATTTATGGTAGTTAGAAGTCATGTTTTGATGAAAACGAACAGCAGCATGTTCTTTTAAGCTGAAGACACATAGTTAGTACCACCGAGCATGCCCACATGGATTGCCTCTGGAATCCATTCACATTTTTATGATCGTGTCTGATCAAATTTGCAAATACTTTCTTAAGGGTGAAATAGGCCTATTTTTGCTATTTTGGACAAATAAATGAGTCTATATGTGCAGGTCCTTACACAGTTTTCTCTAAAGTTAACAGTTAGGACAATCCTCTGGTGAGGGTCTAGTTCATTGCCCTCCCTCAGTTGACTCCAGAGATGGAGGTAGAAGGAATTGCCTTTCTTTTTTAAACAGCATCATCTTGGTTCTTAGCTTGGACAGCACCTTCAAACTCTACTCCCCTGCATCAAAATGCACTTTAGTGCCCCTTCATGGTACCTTGTGAGGGGTGGGGACTAAGAACTCTTTGAGATGAAAAATTTTAAAAAAACATTTTTTAATCTGTAACTATTATAAGGTTCATATAATTAAATAGAGGAATCACCCAGTGATACTTTATGAAGGAAAAATGACCTGTTTTCCTTCACCACTCTCAAGACCTAACTCGGTAAAAGCAGAGGAGGCCGAGAAAACACGGAAGAGACAGAACCTCAGCAACCAGCCTTTTTCTACAGCGTGATCAATCCATCTCTACACAATGAGCGTATAATGAAATTTCCATTTAGTGACTAGCTGATTGAAGGGGGGGCCTCTACCCAAATACTCAACTAGGCCTTACTTTTCTGAAGCATTTTGATTTCTCTTGCCTGGGACAATTAGCAGAACAGTCCAGAATGCATTGAATACTTTCTAATTACCTCATGTTCTCTTATTAAAGGGGACAGATAGAAATAAAACATGCACTCCCCACCTTTAGATTATCTGCGCTTGGTTCGTCGGAGGACTTCTAAGATCCCGTTTTCCTGTAAATTAATTTAGGTAACTAAATAGTGTGTTCTACTTTATTTTTTTCCAATGCAATATGACTATGCTAAATCTGTTTCATATTTTTGACCTTCTATTATATCATTTCACATTTTATGCCTCTTTGAAATGTGGACATGCCTTGCTATTCAGTGACTGCATCGCTACTTATTTTTTATGTCTTTTAGACTTGGATGTTTGGAAATATGGATATAAATATATTGTAGATCTCAAGTCCTTAAAAAATACTATTTTATTTCACTGAACTTAAAAAATGTTTGATCTAGAGAAAGTCCTCCAATGGAAAAGTTTCTACTAAGACTTGATTTGGGGAAAACATGTTTACTTGGCAGCTCTTCCACTGTGCAGTTGGTTCCTGCCCCTACTCTACCCCACCACTGGGCCAAACTAGAACCATTAGTATTAACAGTACAGCAGCTTTGGGTTGGTCCTTATGGAGGTAGCAGTAATGAGGGCAGGGATGTTCCTTTTGAATGACAAGCCCTTTGGGCTAATCAGATTGGGGTTTTGCTCAAATCTTGATAGTATATCCCATGTTGTCTACAAAGTTACAGTTTTTAGTGCTTGATCTCCAAATTTTTCCCCCTATTATATAATCTAAAGAGCACAGGCCCAAAGAGGAAATGACAAGAGGCTATTGTTCCTTCATTTGAGCACGTGAAAGAATCATGTGTGCCATATTGGCTGGGCCATTACAAGCCTTTGAAGCAGCTACGTGTGAAGTATTCAGCTTATTCTTGGAACACAGTGGGGCAGAGGTGACTCTGGCTGGGCAGAGTTGAAGGGTAGAATGCCAGTCCAGATTCTGAAACGATAGATATTTAATTTAGTTCAGCTTTATTTTCACAAGAAGGTTGACACCTACTTGTTTATGTTTGGCTGGGTCTCTGTTTTGTAGCTTCATTTCCAAAAAGATGTTTAACCTAGGAACAGGCAAACAAACAAACAAAAACAGAGCTTTTGCCCCTATCTGTCCAACTGGGGTGGAAAGTCACTGCTACACAGAAGGATTAACCTTCCAGCCACAACAGCTTCTATTCCAAATGTTCATATACATAACCTAACCCCTAAACATCTCCCACAAACTACACACACAGATTACCTATTAAATCACCTCGGGACGTTGCACATGCATGCACACACACACACACACACACACACACACGTACACACACACACATACATAGTAGGTGTATACCACACATTGGAGAATGACAGATTTTAGGCAATGGCCAGTAATGAGTACTGAATTTTTCCCACCCTAGCATCTGGTTGGGTTTTATGATCTAAAAATGTGGTTTAAAAATAAAGATAATTTTTAAAGCTATAGTTTAAAAATATTGGTTCAAAGTTGCAAGTAATACTAATGAGGGAATCATTTCATTGTCACTTCCTTTCCCAGAAAAGTTGAGAGAGCACTGTGTGCCAATGGACTTTTTTTTTTCCATTAATAGACCTTCTATTCAACAAAAACTGCCCACATGCCAGGAAAGCGCTACAGTTTTTCTAAGGTTTTTAAATGGGGATCAAGCTGGATGCAGCCAGTGGATTCTTCAGATCTTTATACCAAGACACAGTAACCTGACCTGCAGCTGTTGTATTGCCCCCGTAGTATAGCTGACCAAATTATAGTCTTTTTTGACACACAGCTTTTTAGTCATTCACTGTCAATGGCAAAGCTTCGTGCTTTGGTCCCTGTTGTTTTAGCACCAGCCCTCTACTTTTTATTAGGGCTTAATTCCCAGTTAATAATCCAGGCCAAATTGATTTGCAAGTCAAGTGGCTGGAGCAGCTTGCATTTCCTTTGTCATTCTAGGTTTCTTCTGGGAGAAAGAAGTCAATGAAAGAGAATTACTTAAGTTTTTCCCATCTCTTGATCATTGATTATAAAGACGTTAGTCTCATGTCTTTTGGTTAATTGAAGAATATGGTTACTTTTTGAAAGCCAGTCTTTTCTTTGTGATGAAACTATATTTTTCCCAGAGTGCCAATCACATATAAAATGTGAAATTAATACTTACTAATTAAATTTTATTATTAAAATCTTCACAATCATATATGGCCCAGCAATACCTCCCCCCAAAAAAGCTGAATTACAGAAACACTGGCCGCAAATTAATCAAGAAAAAAGAAGATTATAAGTGATTGTGCTCTTTAAATTTTTATACTCCAACAGATGACTTCTAGGCAACATTCTGGTTTGGTTATCATTAAACAGGAAAATATATGATTTATTTTCTATAAACATATATCACTGATTCTTTGTTTAAACTTCTGAGATTGTTGTACAAGTTAAAATCCTTTGGTCTTGATATTTAGAATGTACTAAGTATCACTTCTTTCTTTTAACAAATATTTATTGAACACCTACTATGTTAGAGGAACTGTCCCAGGTGGTTAAAAAAGAGGGGGAAAACACTACAAATTCTAAGGGATTATGATAATGATGAAAAATGGAATGAAATAATCAAGCCCCATTCTAATCCTTTTAATCTGTGATTTTATAAAGTGATATTAGAAATAATGACATCAATTCTTGTCTAATTACATTCAAACTGCGACTAAAGAGAGAACTTCTTTTGCCTAAATTAATGGAACTCAATGGACCCTCCTTCTCCCCTCTCTCCCCATCTGAAATTTATGAATTAAATCTGGACTCAGCTAGAAGAACTGTAATCCAATGAAAAAGAGATTGTCAGATAATTGCTTCTTCCCTGTTAGACCTATGTAAGTGATGCTACATTTATACCAACAAACTCCTACCCGACAGTTTCAAAGGCAGGTTGACTCACACATAACCCAGGAAACATTTCAGGAAACCTTTGAAACAACAATGTAGAACACCATCACTCTTCCTTCTATTTATAAACAGCCTATCAAAATAGCTAAGCCTGAGTTCCTAGTTCCAAAGGCATTGCCTTGCAGCTTGTAGAAAACACATTGGTCATTCAGCGCCCTCGCTTTTAGCCAAGGATACAAACCATTGAATTAGCAGGTAGAAAATTAACATCCTCAGAAGTTGAGACAGCCTTTTTAAAAGGTGCCATGAGCCTTCCATTTCTCCAAATACAGACTTAATCTTTCTCTTTAAAATGGCATCTGCTCCTTGTCTCCAAGACAGTTTAGAGTATATTATTGTAGTCAGTGTATGAAATACCAACCTTAAATGGGAAGTACCTTCATGCTTTCTTAGGCAAGACTTAACTGTAATTCAAAACTGGAACAAATCTATGTATTCTTACCACAACCAACACCAAAAGCTTAAAGCCTTGATCACTCTTAGTTCTAACACAAATTTGCAACTACTGGTTACATTATTCTTTCTGGGATCTGCTAACTTGAGTGACTTAAATGCCTAAGCCAAATGCCACAGCTTTGCACAGACAGCGCAGCTCATCAGATGTTTTCTGTAGCATTAAAGAATGTAATTGACAATTTAACTGAATATCAGCAATTTGAAAACTCACTAGAATTATAGACATGTCGGGGGGTTGAGGATGGAATATAAGCTTAATAAGTGGTGGTGTCTCCTAGGAACCATAAAGTTTCAACAGAGCTGACAAACTAGAATTTTATTATACTGGAAAAACTAGACTCATAAATGGCAGCCCCAAACCTAGAAGGGTCAGTTACAATGTGGACACTCACAGCCCAGTTGGTGTTCCCATCTGTGACCTACTATCCCCATCAATTTCACCTTCCGATCTAAAAATCATTTGATGCTTAAAAAAAATAAAAACGCAGAGCTGCAGCATGCTAAAGAAACTGTTTTAAAGATTTAAACACATTTTATATTAAAAAGACTGATAGACTCTTGACAAAAGTAATGAATATGGAAATAAAAGAGCTCTTTAATATTTTACCTGCCAAATCTGTATATTCAATGTGACTGTTTAAAACAGTCACTTCTAAGTTTTATTTCAACTCCTGTCATAGAAAGGGGAGCATGAGGCTCCCCTCCCCCTTTCTAACCAATGCAAGTGTTTTGGTTTTTTTCTTTCTTACCAGAAATTCAAATTCAAAAGTTTGATATGAACTGGGTTTTACCTGGTGAGCAGTCCTGGTGTTAGTCTACCTTTGTGCTGTCTGGATAGTAAGTGTAATAATGCCTTGATTTCTGTATCCTGACAGTGGTGATTCAGACAGAATGATGGGAAGCAGGAAGGTCTATACAACGAGATTCAAAGCCTAAACCAGTTCATCTTTTATATGCAATTTTTGTAATCTAACTTATAGCCTGGGATTTTAGTAAATACAGGTACTTGTTACATTCATGGAAAATGAATCTCAAAGATTTAAGTCAGGTTGTTGACTACTTTCTTTCACTTGTGATAAATATACCACTATACAAGGTAGTTGCTTTCACTTGATACTCGACACTTGCTTATAATTCAAGAAAAGCCAACTCTGGTGTGTCATTTTATTTCATCTCATAAAAGTTTCTGGCAGAAGTGAAGTTTCAAAAGAGTATGATAGAATGTATTTTGGACAATATTTGTATTCAACATGCTAATGGTGGCATTCCTTTCTTTGCATTTCTTGTTACCATGGTGATAGTCAAGTCAGTTCAATGACTCTCATTTTAGTGACATGTGTGAGGCCACTTAAATATTTTTAAGATAATGTATATTGATTAGAAGCATTTAGGAAAAGACAAATTTATGGTAGAAATTAGCCTTGCCTTTGTCTAAGTTAATTTATGTGACCTTGTTTGAATGGTTTTAGTTGCAATTTTGGAATACTTCTTTGCGAGGTATTCCTCTCCTTTCTCTTGTGGCTTTCTCCCAATATTTTTATCTGGCTTAGCAGTATCTTAAAAGTTATTTATTAATGAGTATTAGGAAGGAAATTGATATAGAAAATATCTCTTTAAAAATTGTCTTGAGATCTTGAGGGCTTGAGATCTTCATCAAGCCCTCCTGCCACACTGGGTAAGACCCGAAACGACCTTGTCAGGGATGTGGCCTCCTAATATGATTTTGCTGTTGTCTCTAAATAGGGAACCTATAAAAAAATACGGTTGAGGGGCTTCCCTGGTGGCGCAGTGGTTAAGAATCTGCCTGCCAATGCCAGGGACACGGGTTCAAGCCCTGGTCTGGGAAGATCCCACATGACGTGGAGCAACTAAGCCCGTGCACCACAACTACTGAGCCTGCACTCTAGAGCCCGCGAGCCACAACTACTGAGCCCACGTGCCACAACTACTGAAGCCCGCACGCCTAGAGCCTGTGCTCCGCAACAAGAGAAGCCACCACAGTGAGAAGCCCGCGCACCACAGTGAAGAGTGGCCCCCGCTGGCTGCAACCAGAGAAAGCCCACATGCAGCAACGAAGACCCAACACAGCCAAAAGTAAACAAATAAAATAAATTTATTTTAAAAAAATAAGGTTGAAATTTCTAACTTTGTAGCATAATTTATCCAATTTTGTTTTGCTCTTCCTTTTTATGTTGGCCACCAAGCTTTCCTCCTTAGCCATATATAAAGTGCCCATCTTTTAAAAAAAATTCAAAGATCTATATACCATTTTGAAATGATACTTAAATATGAAAGAGAAGGAAGAAATAAAATAAAATCCAAATCTGAATTCTCCTGAAGAGGAAAAATCTAAATACTTAAACCTAGAAAATAAATTGCCTGAGAATAGTTGGTTTTGTTTTTAATCTAGTGTTGATCCTTGGATGGTTTAATGATACCCAAATTATATCTGAATATAATTGATTTTAAATTTTAGTAGTTGGCAAAGTCATTTCCTTTGTACCATAATCAAATAGGGTCCACTGCCAAAGGTTACTGTCTGAATCTTGATTCATTAGGCACTAGTAATGCCAAATGGGTATCTCAGAATAGTTTCATCTTTTCAAAGATACTCACAATGGCCAACTGTGTGTGAATAATGGAAAGTTTGAGATTCTTCTGTATTCTTCAAATTTTATAGCCCTGAGACTAGAAGAGATCTCCAGAGGTCATCTGGCTCATCCATCTACCTCCAGGGAGGACAGTCACTCAGGCATGCTCTACAGGATAGACACCCATCTATTCTTAACATCTCTAGGGAAGGCAGTTTCCTTGGCAACACAATCCAGTCCTCCTAGGTTTTTCTCACAGTACGAAAATATCTTGGCCAGTCTTTGTGAGTTAGGCACCTGGCAACAGTTGTGGTGATTTGGGCCATTGTACTGGGAGAATCGGAAAGTTAGGTTTCCCCTACCTTTGATGTTTGTTACATTTGATGATTCCATAAGTCTCCTAAGAAATCAGAGTTTTAAAAATAAAGATGTGGGACAGTGTTCAGTAACGTGACCTGCTCTCAACAAATATGGCTGTAGTGTTTGTTCGTTTTTATTTTCTCTTTTGTTTTACCATTGCTATGATGTCAGGGAAAGTGACTGTTTCAGATCCCCGGTGACAGACATCAACACTAGGACCGAGTGACTCGACTTTTTAACTGTTCAATTTTCTGAGAAGTTACAATTACAAAAAGTGAGCATTTTCTACCTTCTTGCTTCTAAATAAGTACCTTCTTATTCATCTTTCTATACCCTAAAAATGACAAATGAGAATCTCAAATTTTTCCACTTTTTCTGGGGAAGTGACTGGTTGTGGCGAGTCTGGTGTGGAATGAAACGACTCCAGAGAATTACTCCGCTACCATTTGATCCCAGCCTTTGTCCCCATGTTGTTAAAACAGTGGCTGCTTGCCTTCTCAGGGATCAGCAAAATGATTTAAAAATTTGTCATCTTGACAAGGCCTGAAAACGAAAGGAATCCGGGAGGGTGGTGACTTTTTCCTGATTACATCACTTGACCCAAGCACCCCCTGCAGAGAGCTTCTTCTGTTTGTTCAGAGTTGCCTCCAACTCAGAGTCAGAACTAACCGGAAAATGAAGAACACCCTCAAAATCGATGTTTCCTTTCTCCATGGGATTTTTTCCAATCTAGGTACAGCTGCTTATGCCCCCCAACTCAGATGCTCTTGTGAAATGACAGCCACATCAGTGCGTGGTTGCTCCCCACAAATAACATTAGGGGAAATAACCTTTTTTGCTTTAAAAAAAAAAAAAAGCTATAGAATGC